TTGATTCCCTTACGGTCTCTCTCTCTCTCTCTCTCTCTCTCTCTCTCTCTCTCTCTTAATTCTCTTCTTTTTCATGCTATATCTTTTGTGCATTGTACATGTTTTAACTCATGGACAGTAATAGAGTTAGTAGTACTTTACATTAAACAATGCCTTAAAAAGGAAAAAAGGTCTTCAAAAAGCGGAAGGAACGTTCTGTTCTCTTTTGAGTTGGAGGCAAGAGCTCTTTCTTCAATAAAGGTTTGGAACCCTCAAGCAAGACATGATCTACATAATAAGACATCATAGCGCCTAGAGATAGAGGTATGGTTCATCGCCTTACTTATCCAAGCGACATTGGCCTCTGTTCCAATTAGATGTTAAAAATGCCTTCCTGAACGGGGACCCACAGGAAGAAGTTTACATAAGTCCTAAACCCCCTTGTGGTAAGGGGGATGAGAAAAGGTTTGCAGACTGTTCAAGGGTGAAAGCAGTCTCCCCCAGCCTGGTCGGAAACTGAGGCCTGGTTTATCAATAATGATATGGGTGGTCCGGGAACTGCAACGGGAGAGGGCTCGTAGCCCCCCCCCCCCCCTCTCCCTCTTCCCCACACCTATTTCTTCCCCCGGCCCCGGAGAGAGGCGGAACTTTTGCTTTTTGAAGAAAAAGATGAATAGATAGGGCCATGATACATTCCGGAATATTGTAAGGGTAAATAGACTCTTTTCGTCCCCTTTTCGAATAAGGTGAGCTTCTAAAGGTCCTTCCCCTTATAACTTCAGGTGCTACCTCAGATGGGAACATGAGACCAAGAAAAACTTCTAGCCTCACCCCCCCTATCGTTTACCGTTAACTGCCACTGCTGCTCTCGTTGATGCTATTAAGAGATAACTGGCACAGATTGATTCCTTCTCAGATCCATTCATTCAACCTTCGCCACAACATTAATGGCTTAGCTCTTTGCGCTTCCCGCAGGCTTTTCTTTTTAGAGAGAGAGTCAGGGGGGCGGTACGGAAGATTGGTCCGCTCCGCAAAGCTCAGCTTTGCTTGCGTTCTTCAGATGAATTCTATGAGTTACTATAGAATTCTTTGATTCCAATGGCCAAACATAGTTGATGCAGGTCAAAGATATTTCCCATTGCTAAAAATCTTCCATTTTCATTCTCTATCCTTACTGCTAATCAACCAATGTATTTTAGTTTTATAACTAGAGCTTTATATATAATTTTGACGTCTCAATCTGTAGTGATTCTACCACCTCCTGCATCTTTATGCAAACATTCTTTTCCCTTTTGGTAAGATCATGGCTTTAATGTCTATGTAACAAGAAATCATTTTACAGTTATTTCATGAATTACGACCAAGGGATTAGGCAAGTGTTGAATCAAAAAACAGATTAGGTTCAGAGTCCTAGTATTTAGGTCAAGGTTACAAATATTTTCTTTGTAAGTGATTTAGCCCCAACAAAGTGGTTTGCATTTGACTGAATTGGGGATGACTTGGTTTGGTGAGTGAAATTTAATTAAAAAGTATTTTGACTGCTAAATCTAAAAAAGAAATTATTTCGCGGATTGGGTTGAACACTTTCAATTACATTACTTGAAAATTTTTTGCTATGACCCTGGAGCATGACATTGAACGTTAGATTTTTGTGCAAACGGATCAAAAGAGTGTCATAATTCTACAAGAGTAAAACCTGACCTTTCTTCTTATTTGGATGATGATATGTGTAGGTATTAGGCAATGCAAAAGGTGCTGTGGCTGTTGTAATCTCGATTCTCCTGTTCAGAAACCCTGTAACAGTTATGGGCATTGGCGGGTACACCATAACAGTTCTTGGGGTGGTTGCTTATGGGGAAGCAAAGCGGAGATTCAGATGAATATGAGTCACTCATCTTACTTCATTCTTTTGGGAATGACTTGGGTAATTTTGATTTTGATGGTGAGGAGAGGATTGCCAACTTGATGACCATTTACATGATTATTGTTCTAGAGAGAGATTGGGAGATTAGCATATGATGTATTTATTATTAAAAAAAATACAAGTTACTCATTTTTGTCAGATGCCAATGCTAATACTGTTCATTTGGCAGTGAGATATTGTTTTATTATGTTCATTTGATTAATTGAGAATGCTGTAATCAGTAGCCCACTTGATTAGGCCCTCTCTTCATAGGTATCTATATATGCAAGAAAGATGTATTGTGCTTATAATAAACTTACAACAGTTTATGGTTAAACTGCTTAAAAGTCGATTGTTAACCATTGCAAACTACATATAAGCTCAATACAACCACTAGCACCAAATACAAAGCAGAGCAAAATAGCCCGCGTAAGTATGAGTCTCTCTTTTTATCTACTAGAGTTTTGTGAGTTACTTGCACCTGAAGTTACTTAAAAGGGTAAATTCTTATTGATTTCTCATGCCATTTCCGGTCCAGAAGGAAGTGGTTCATAACCATCTTGATCCTTAGCCTTACTTGAATCTTGGACAACAGGAATACACTTCAGAACAACTCCCACTGGCATACTTACAAATCCAATGACGACACTGAGTAGCCAAAGTTCCCAGCTTAGTGGTACAGTGCGTGCAAAAGTTCCCAGGAACTCAACTATGATTGCTTGGAACGCTACTGTTGAAGCCATCACCATAATGAATATCCAACTGTCGAATATGCCACGGAATACATTTATTTTTTCAATGTTACGGCTATTTACTTCGTTAAACACCTACAAAATGAAAAATTATAAGCTCGTCAGCAATAATAACACTAAATTGCCAATCGCCAAAAGGATACACAATTTACATTCTGAAAGATGGATCTTTAAGAAAATAGGAGACTGCAATGCTCTCTTAACGGAAGAACAGCATGATTTCTTTAAAGAGCCTTTTTAATTCTCTGTTGCCTCAAATATGGGAGCCCGTTCAATTCTTTTCGTCTGAGCTATAATTTCCTATAGAAGCTATCTCCACCAAAAGCAGCAGAAGGGATTCCGTTTGACATTTAGATGGCACACATAATATACATAAGATTGGGCACTAAAAACAGACAGAAACTTGATGGACTTATCTGCTTAAATTAACAGGAAAAATTCAATATTTTTGCAACATCTTTATAATTTGGTGGCAGTGGCAACAATGGGTTCCTTGATATGAATACTAATTTGTCCTATCCCTAAAGGAAATGCTCAAAGAGCTTTTCCAACTATAATATGAGGTTTCAACTGAACGATGCCTTCAAAATTAAGGAGCATTGGTTTATCATACCTGGGAAAAGACAAATATGTTGAATATCATAGTATTGAGAACAAGGTTAGCATCTGAACCATTCAGCCTCAGTAGCTTCTTCCCACCAAAAGTAAGAACTCCAAGGACAAGCAGTTGATAGATACTCTGACCAATGATATTCCTCCACATGGCCTTGGTGATGAAATTTGCACCCTTCGCAACTGGTGGCCTCTTCATGAGTCCATCATTAGGAGGTTCTGTTGCCAGAGCCAACGCACCAAGAGTGTCCATAATCAAGTTTACCCAAAGCAACTGCACAGCAGTGAGGGGAGCAGCTCCTGAATGATACATACAAAGAAGATGAAGAATAATAAGTAAAAGATGAAGAGGGTGTATAATTCGAAATATCTATTTTATCAGCATATAAAGATAGATGACTATTCATAAGCCAACACACCTGAGATACATGCAGAAACAAAATTAATCATAAGAGCCACAACATTAACTGTCAATTGGAACTGCACAAACTTTTGAATGTTTATATAAACAGCACGTCCCCATTTGGCAACTTTCACAATGGTAGTAAAATTGTCATCCATAATGATGACATCGGCATTTTCTTTAGCGACCTGTATAGAGTAGTCATCTAAAATTAAATTATCAATTGTATTGCAAAAACAAGATACAAAAGGCACTGCAAGATAGAAGACAGTCATAACTGGTTAAAAGCATATAAGAATACAAATAAATGACACTTGAGAACTTCTGGTGAAACAGTCAAATAAATACAGGGAAGATCTCATTACCTACATTTTGTTGTGAGAGGAAAAATAGAACATACACAGATACTATATAAAGAAGGCAACAAATCCATGTACAAAAAACAAAGAGCTAACGGTGAACACTAGTTGTCATGATAATGGTGGTTACAATAGTTGTCACAATAATGCCACCATGTCATATAGCAGTGATGGGTTGGGTGGTGTTGGTGGTGATGGTGAAAACAGGAACGACAAGAATCGTGGCAACAATGGCAGAAGTGACAACTGAGGTGGTGAAGATAAAAACAAGAGAGGTGGCAGCGGTAAGGAGAGTTACAGTTGCAGTGTTCTTTTTGAAATAAAAAAATAGTAAGGTATAAATATATATAAACAAGGTACCAATAGAGGGGGTACCACCCATTTACAAAGAGGATACAGTTGCAGTAGTCTTATAAATAGATATATACAAAAAAAATTAGAAACTAGGATCTTAGTTTTTTTAGGACACTACCTCGATGTGTAGTATTTATTCACCTCTCATAAAGTGAATAATACAATTCAATCTAGAGCAGTAATGTCTTCACCAAAAAGATTTCTCCCTTACATTACCATTTAACAAGACATAGTCTAATAGTAATAACCAAAGGGGGCCTTTTTTGAAAAAAAAAATTAAGCTCCAAGTGCCAAAAGGCAAGTTAGAGGTTATAGCGCTGCGCATTGCATATCTACGCCTAGTTCCAGTCAAAATAATGTTAACCTTCAAATTGTACCTTCACCTATGAACATTATACATTCACTTATAAATTTGGCAAATTATTACTTTAATCCTTGAACTATTAACCATATGTTAAGATTAGATCCTAAAAGGTTTTCTCTGATTTTTACTCACAAAATTGTTTCAGTTCAGTTTCTTTTTTACAGAATTGTTAGAATTTTTTACATAAATAACATAAAAATTCTTTCTATTTTACTTATACTTTTTGCAGAGTTTAAAAGTAATAACTAAATATTTATTTTAATAAATTTAGGAAGAATAATCGGTTTGTTAAGTCATGTAAATGATAATAACAGACATTAAAAAAACAAGCGAACCACAACAGAAGTATTATATTTTTTCAAGTCATTTGTAATGTCAACCAAGCAAGAGGGGAAAATTTTTTGCCATTTATACAAAAAAAATTATTAAAAAAACTAAGTTTTTAAAATAATTTTATAAGTTTAAAAACCAAATTAAAACGAAAAAAAATAAAAAGGTTCATAATTCGGACTTGACTGGACTAAAAAAATTAGATTGGACCGAACTAAATAGAATTTTGCCCAATCATTGGTTCTAGTTTATGAATACCAAAATTTTCAGTGGAGTTTGGTTTTCAGTCTAAACCAAAAATATTGGTTTTATTCTAGACAAAAAACTTGTTTAAAATAAATTAAAAATATTTCTCTCTTTAAATTAATTTATTATAAATTTAACAAAAAAACTCATTTTACCACTGTTATAGTAGCTAGCAGATTTTTGGAAAATTAACTTATAACAAAGTTAAATTAATTTAAAGTAGGCTTTTGGAACATTAATTAAATAAAAAAATATTTTAAAAAATCTGTTTATGCTAAAGTTTAGGCAAAGATTATTTATATACTTAAAAACTAATTTAAATTTAAAAAAAAAAAGAAAGGGAGAGTAAAATATAATTTTGTCTAAACCGGATCCAAACTTGTCTAATCAAGTCAATACTGTAACGTATGCAATTCAGTTCTTCCACTGAATATGATACGAAATGGTCCAATTCTGCACAAATGTCAACTTCTAAAAAATCTTTAGGACTGAATTGCAAAATGGCACATAATTCACGAAGTAAATTGCTAATATGACAAATAATTTAATAAACAAAGGATGTGGAAAAAAGGGCATGGGCATGCTTAAAATATCTAAAGACACGAATTAGAATAGGAACTATTACTTAACCCATATGCACAAACCTCCGTTCCTGCTATACCCATGGCAAGCCCAATATCAGCTTCATGCAAAGCAGGAGCATCGTTGGTCCCATCCCCAGTCACCGCAACCACCTCTCCATAATTCCTCAAAGTTTTAACCAAGGTGTGCTTGTCCAATGGCAAAGATCGAGCCATTACCTGAGCCAAAATAAGCAGATAAGTAAACATAACTCTATGTATCAATTTAAAGGTTAAAGCCAAGGATTGATGATCTGAAAACCTGAAGTTTGGGAATAATATCCCTCATCTCGTTAGAAGATTTGTTACGAAATTCTAGCCCCTCTATTGCTAAACCACCTTCTGTAAGTATGCCACATTCCCTAGCTATGGCTTTAGCTGTATTTATGTTATCACCAGTAACCATTCGGACAGTAATTCCAGCTGCTAAACATGTTTGAACAGCTTCTTTTACTCCAGGACGGACTGGATCCTTGATTCCAACTATTGCTATCAATGTATAACCATCATCAGGAATATTCTCATAAGAAGAATCATCTAGATCCTTGAAAGCCAAGCAGAGAGTTCTCAGAGCCTCTGAGGCAAAACTGTCTATAACATTTGTTATATTCATAAAGTCTTCTTCAGACAAAGGAACTGAGTCTCCGTTACTATTTACAACTTTTTGACACATTCTTAAAACTATTTCCGATGCACCTTTGCAGAAAGCCCGCAGCCTACCATCAGGAAGAGTTGTTAGGACAGACATCTTCTTCCTGACTGAATTAAAAGGCTCAACCTTTATTATATTAGACTCCGCACGCTGCTCATGAAAATCGCCACCCAGATGTAAGCCAAACTCTAATAATGCAGACTCTGTTGGAGTTCCTAGAATTCTGGTCTTTCCCTCTTTATCCTTAACCACCTCAGAACTAGTATTTTGAAATATAGCCTGCAAAAGGATGCTTGAAACTTTTTCAGATACATCCAATTGAAAATTTCCTTCACGCTCAGTATCCATCTCTTTGCTTTGTCCACAGATCCATATCTTGTTAACTACCATATGATTTGTGGTTAAGGTCCCTGTCTTATCTGTACAAATGCAACTAGCAGAACCCATTGTCTCACATGCAGCAAGATGCCTCACAAGTGCCTTATCATTCATTAACTTCTTCATTGCAAATGCAAGGCTTAAAGTCACTGCCAATGGTAACCCTTCGGGTACAGCAACAACAATTATAGTTACTGCAACAGCGAAGTAGTTCAGTAGCGTCAGGGCATCACTGGTTGAAAAATGTGTAAACTGGTTATGAAGTGCTTTGTCCACCAGAAACCTTACAGTCAATACCAGAAATGTAAGCACTGCGAATACCAAACCAATCTTACCAATTATTGTAGCAACACCATTCAGCTTTACCTGCAATGGGGTTTCATCCTCTCCTCTCTCACTTAAAGTCTCCATCAGCTTTCCCCATTCCGTCTGCATGCCCACCGATGTCACCAACATCTTACCAGAACCATCTTGAACTTTAGATCCTGAGAGAAGAAAAGGATTCTCTTCATATTTATTCACTGGTTCACTCTCTCCAGTCAAGCTTGACTCATCAATCAGTAAGCTGTATCCCGATATAAAAATCCCATCAGCTGGAACTTGGTCCCCAATAGATAAATGGACAACATCTCCAACAATCAGGTCATAAATGGAAACCTCTTGTCTATACCCATCCCTGGTGACCTGGACAGATATCTTTTTCTTCTCCCTATCCAAATCCCTAAATTGCAAAGATTGCTTGTAGTCACTAATAGCAGTAACCATGACCACTAATAATATACTAAGTATAACGCCCAACCCATCATACATACCATTTGGTAACCCCTCAGTGGCAACTCCCACCCCTATTGATATTGCTGCACAAACCATGAGGATAATTAGAGTTAGGTCTTGGAGTGCTTCCCAGACAAATGTCAAAAACGTTCTGGGAGGTTTCTCTGCATAACGGTTAAAGCCATAGATTTTCTGTCTGATAGGTACATCACTTGTGCAGACACCTTCATTCAGAGAGACAGAGACTTTCTGTGCAATTCCTTCAACTCCACCATTTATCCGCAAGCCCTTAATGTCATGGCCTCGCACAATATGTGCCAGTTCATCTGGATGAATACTAAAGCCAGCTTCTTTAGCATCATCCGGAAGGTTGTAGACAGTTCGACTATAAGCTACACAAAAAACAAAAAGAACGTGTGAAAATAAAACAAAAAAATGGGAAAATGACATCAAAGAAAATATCAAATAAGGAAAGGGAAAAAATTGAACTGATTACCATCAATGAACTGCAGAGCTGCCTTTTGAACATAAAGAGCAACTCTTATCGTTTCCTGGTTGATAAAAATGAGAATTGATGAGGTGAAAGACTTGATGTGAAAATAACAGTTGCTAGCTATTTCCTAAACCAGAGCTGCAAAAAATTTCATTATCATGTCCTGAAGTATATCTTTGGAGGAATCAATGCAGGTGTGCTCAATACATTTAAGATTGTGACTAGAAGTAGAGTCTTCAAGAGGCCATTTTGCATTCTTGGTGGTAAAAAACACAAGCCAGTGCCTGAGATAACTTAAACCTTTAAAGAGTTTCTTGATTTTCATGAATACAAAGCGCAAAATCTAGCATTTGCCAGACATCAGTCTTAATTGATCACCTTGAATAATCCGTAAATGAAGATGCCCAACTCAAACATGTTGATCATGGGAAGATGAAACAAGTGTTTTTCATTCTGAAACTAGTTTTTTTCTTATAAAAAAGATAAGCGATGAAATGCTGAAAGATATTTTGCATTCTGTATGCTCCTCTAGAATAGTTCTATCTAAAGGCAGATGAAACAGAAATTCAGATTGTCATCCTTCCTCTTAACTCATGAAAGGGAGACTATCCATCTCCCATTAGGTATCATCTGCATGGTTGACTGTTTCATACAAATATGTTAATATAATGTTCAATGATCGGTTTTATCATTGGATAAATACAACATTCACATCCAATTTCGGAGTTAGCAAGTATGTTTCAGGGAAAGACACCAATTTGATATCCTTACTGGATTGTATCTTGTCTTGATCATCCTATGCCTTCCTTTGACCAGTGGCAGTTCACTTGTTTTACAATTAGATTCATATACACATTTTTTTCCTGAATTTATTCATATTAACTATGGAGAAATATAATATGAGATTGTTGAGATTCCATGTCATTGAGACCTTGATAACATCAGTCAGTATTCAGTTCCCAAATTCATTTGAGAACTAAGGATAAAAATTGACAAATATGCTGAAAATCTCAAAATCGCCTCAAAGGCCAGGTTTCCTACCTCCTTTAACTCTTTTGATAAAATTCCATAGTTATAACCTTAATTAAGCAATTATTAAAAAAAATATCCCTCCAATTTTTTAGCTATTTACTATAAATAAAGATGCTCTCAGAAATAGTGCTGAAAATCCTGTAAAAGTTTAATATAGCTAAAACTTTCAGTTTTCAGTAATTATTTTTTAAGAAAAAATAGATATAATAATAAAAGTGATAATTTTTAAAGTTTTAACACTTTGTAATTTTGCAAAAAGCTTTACATTTACTAGCGTTTGACTTGACTTATTGTTTGGTAAACAAAAGCTTATAAGTTCTCTAACAGTGCTCTAAATTTTTCAAAGCTTAGAAATGTTTGTTTTGCAGCAATAGTGGGAAAGTTTTAGCAATTATGCAAAAATAGCAGGGGACTCAATCAATGGTTCAAATGTGGATCTCTCGAAGTAGGGAATTATTATTGAGGATATTAAGCATCTTAAGGGTAGAATTTAGGAGAATAAATTTTAATTTTGTACCCAGAATTTGTAATGTTCTTGAACATTGACTGGCAGAACAAAAATTGGTAGACAATACACCCCACAAGTCTGGATTGAAGAGGTTCCTTTAGAGCTTTCTTATTGGTGTTCAAAACACTTGGAAGGATTCTTTTAGCAATAATATTTTTCAAAATTTCAACCAACAAGAAAAAAAAAAAAAAAGCTTACACCTTTCTCGCTAAAGAACCTCAAAAATGCAAGTGGGAAATATACGGACAATAAGGGCAAGCAAAAAGACAAGGGGAAGGAAAAAGATTATGGGATGAGGTTCCAATTTTGTTTGGGGTGAATAAAGACAGGAAGTTGGACGTTCGCTCTGTAATTTGTGGATAAGATTTGGGAATAGATGGATAAACCAGTAAATATCAATTTAATAATTCCCTTTCTTAATTAATAACTTAGACTTATATAATTCACTTTTTAATTTACTAAATTAATCATGTATGTTTATAAACAACTCAGGTTTAACCAAGCACTATTGATCGTATCTTAAATTCGCTTTTCCGAGCAATTAAGATGAGACAAGGAGCTTAATTCTTCTCTCAAAAAGTAAGTAAATAAGAAAAACCCCACTAAACTATAACTACGAAACTTCAAGGAAGTTTCCTCGTCTGTCATTGTATGTGACGAAAAGTCAAAAAGGAAACTTTTTTCATCGGAAAAGAACATTTGATAAAAATCAAAAATTACAAATTTTAGCTTGTTTAAAAATTTAAAAGAAGCTTCTCAGGCAACTGAGATTTTTCCTTAATTGAAAAATATTAATATTTTATCACAATCTCACAGAAAAAAAAAACAAAAGTAATTAGAAACAAGTTATTAAGTTTGAGCTAATTTCAAGTAAACCTATATTGAAAACATAAAATCAGAAAGTAGCAATAACGATGGCTGGTTTCTGTTCGTTTCGGGCGAAAAGGTGGGAATACTAGAGAAGTCCGCCAATCGTGGCCATCAAGAAAGTAATTAAAGAAAATGGTAATCCGTTAGAAAGAGAAGTCCAAAATGAAGTCGAAATTCTTTTACTCGATTTTCCTGGCAAACAAACGCCCTCACCCTCACAAAAAGAAAAAAAAAAAAAACATATTAACAAAATATCCCAGGAGAAAATCCGCAGATTGTCCCGTATTAAGTAATAAACACAAAAATTGATAAAAGAAATTGAAGACGAACGGAAACGCAAAAGAAAATCACCTGGATCCTTTGCTTCTTCTTCTCAAGTTCATTTCGCTTGGCGAGATCGGCGACATTACGGAACCTTCGGCGAGGATTCTTTACAATAGTAACAGCAGATCTCCATCTCCTCCTAGCCTCTTCCGACGGATTCTTGCCGTCCAAATCGAAGTCCTTTAACAACTTCTCCATTTCTTCTTCAAATATGACCCCAAAAAAGTTACTTACAGAAGAAACGAGTTAGTACTGCTCAGTTGAATACGCTCTGAATTGAGAATGACCATTTTTATGTACGTACATCACTGCTACTGTATATTTAATGGAATTTATTTGAGAATTGACCTTTTCTTATTTATTTATTATTTACTATTATTATTTTTCTGTCTGAAGGAATTTGGAGAGAGAAATGGAGAAGCTGATCTGGTCTGAGAGAAATGGGAGAAGCTGGAACTGGGATTTGGGAAAAATAACAGCCATAGCTTATTTGTTTGGACTTTCTTTTTACTACGTATATTAGCAGGATATTTAGTGATGGCAAAATTACAAAATCACCCCTCAATTTTTAATTAATTATATAAATTTCGGTAAATCTTAATTCAAAATTTTTAATTAAATAAGTGATGAAAATTAAATTAATTAATTTAATATTAACGTAAATAAATACACAAAAAAATAAATTAATATGAATTGAAATAAATCTATTAATTGGATAAGTTGAGTCTCATTTCATACAACATATCTAATATTTTGTACAGAAAATTATTAATCTAAATTTAGTAATTTATTTAAGTTATTAAAAATATGACTTAAAATGTAATTTTTCAATTAATAATAAATTCATAAACTATTAAAATATATAATAAAGTATAAAATTTTTATTAAATAGGCAGAGTTCTATCTCTAATATATCTTAAAATTTATTTTTGATATCATACTTTTAATTAATTTATAATGATTGATTAGAAATGATGAAAATAAAACTTACTATTTAATGATAGTAAATTTGAATTTAATCATGAAGCAATGTAAGAGAAATATGGAAATGAATAATAGTTTAAAAAAATGTTGTGAATAATTTATAAAAATATGTAAGTAGTGGGTTAAATAGTTAACCAAAAATAAAAGTTTATTTTCTACTTAAAAAATTAAAATAAATAACTATTATATAATATTATTACATTAATTTTGTTTTTATATTTAAAAATTATTTCAAATTCAAAAGGAAAAGAGTTTTAATTATGTATATATACGTACCTATATATATATATATACACACACACTCACACTTATACCTTTAAATTTATTTTCATATTAATTATTTAATTTAATATATTATAATCATATTTCAAGCAAACAACTCTTTATATACAATTATAATATCATACATATTAATTAATTAATTGAAGAATGTCTTTTAATATATAAAATTAAATTATATTTTTTGTAAAGGCTCGAAACTTTAAAGGGAAATGAATTTATAAAATTAAATGCGGAAGCGATTAATAGAGTTAGAGCTTACATTTCTTACATAATAATTTAAAATACCTAATGGGGATATGAGAATATCACTTTTAAAAGACAAACGATAATTAAAGAAATAAAAAGAGTAGTAAATACAAAAGTACCGTAAAATAACCTTCACTAGTACTTAAAGGGAGTTCGAATAGTGAACTATTCATGGCCCTCTTGCTGATCGGGATTTAGGTCTTGGTCCTTTTGATCTGAAATGGTTAATGAAATGGTGAGTTACACTATCCTAGTAAAAATATCACATTAATCATAGATACGGAATGAAAATTGGTAAAAATCAGAAAAACAACTAATAGAGCCCCTTACTTTATTTAAATACTTTTAAACTTAAAAACATTTGTTTGATACTAACCGTAACGAATTTTCTAAAAATAACATATGAAGATCCATATCTATACTACTTTTCACTTTCACGCATAGGAGAATAAGAGATAATAATTTTCTTTTTTTACCTGCTTACTGGTACCCTGGTGTCCATAGAGATGTCCCTCCTTACTCATAAACCTAATATCTAATTTTACAATTGACCGGCTGTTCCCATACCCCCTCCAGTAATAGGTGCTAAACATTCCATCGTCTTGATACCCCGTCCGGTATGAGGGTGAACCATATTTTCCAAACCTTTCTCGTAAGGGACTTCCTACCCCCGTCCGATTGAGATAACGTTCACGGTAGGGTTCACTATGTACCGGGCTCATTTGCCATTTTTCTGGGTAACCAGCAAGTCTTTCATATACAAGTTTTCATCAATAAACAACTAACAAACACATACTAATATCTTATATCACATTCACAGATCAATTAAATCACATTCATGCTAATGGTATATAACCAAAATAACTACATAAGTTGATAAAACCATTGAACTATAAATTAAGAATATGTACTATACGAAAATTAAGTATGTATGACAGTACAGAAAAATAAATAAAAAATCAATACAATTGTGAACTAACTGGTTCCAACTTTACTAGTAATATGTAATTATTTTTAAAGTTTTTTACTTTTTCACAAAAACATAAAATTATACATCATTAAGCCCCAATTTACCGTAACGGAGAATACGGTGATGGATTCTTACTTCGAGACGTTGCCTTGCCTACCACAGTTCCTAACGGGTATTAGGTTCCCTGAACTTTTTCTGCGAAATTCAAAACACCTGTCACATACATAAAAATACCTCAAAAATCTAAAATTAGTGTCCAAACCTCTTTCCGGTAAATTTGGGATTCTGACACGGTGGTGTCGCCGTGCTCCGGTGTCGGCACCGCCGTGCTCTAGCGTAGGCTCCGCCGTCCATAGCGACGGTCCGCCTCGGTCATGTCAGTTTTGGCCGATTTTAGCCAGTTTTAGCCGGATTTATATATATCCCTACGAAAAAACACGTTAGAGGGCCTCAGTTGACCGAAAAATCACCAAAACCAGCGAGCTTATCAGCAAGGGGTCATCGGTTGAGATGGCTTTGTCGGTCCTCTTTCGCAGCTGGGGTTCCTTCTTCGACTAACATGCATAAAAAAGGACGATGAACATAATGATCAAAAAATTGCGTGAGACAGGAATCAAAAAATGGCTAATTGGAGGAATTTTGGGTTTTTGGCTGTGGCTGCTCTACTAGGCTTTGCCTGTATTTTTTGGCTCACCTGCCATCCCTCTTACTCTGATTTGGCCACAGGAGTGCTCGAAATCGAATTCCGAGAATGTGGGGGGAATTTTTACTTTTTTTATGGCCGTCAGTGGCTTCGGTGCAGCAGCAGTCGGCGATCGACCTCCTTCTTCAGCATCTGATTCTTCTTCTTCATCGGTGGCTGGTGACTAGGGTTTGAGTTTCCATACGACATAAAGTATTTATACCCATCTCGCATTGATCTAGCCCGTCCATCGCGATTAATCTCGTCCGTTCGATCGCGCCTAAGAAAGAAACTAATCTAGACCGTCTATTGCGATTGATCTCGGTCGTTCGATCGCGCTTAAGGAAAAACAAATCTAGACCGTCCATGCGCGCAGGATCGATCTTGGGTCGTCTGCTCACGGGGCACGCAGATCGCCCGTGTGGCCTCCTGCGTGGCACCGACGTTAGCGTTCCTTGCCATGCGGCGTGCTCCGATTCGTTGGGACTACTGACCAGACAGTCCTACGTGGCTGAACTTTTTTAATTTGTACTCTGACCTCATTTTTTTTAATTTTTCTTTCAAAAACACCATTCGAATTCAAATTTTCACTCATTTCTTCCAAAATTACTTTCAATTACATCCCTAACCTATTTTTTCAATTAATTAATAAAATTAAGTTTAAATTGATTTAAAAATAATTATTTATTTATTTATTTGATACTAAAATTTGATCCCATGCCAAATTATAGGCCTGGTTATTACAATTCTTCTCCCCTTAAGAAGAAATTTTGTCCCTCAAATTTTTCACCCTCTCACTAGTCAAACAGTTGAGGATACTAGACTCTGAAGTCTAATTCTAGCTCCCATGTGGCCTCTTTCTGTGTGTAATTATGTCATAGGACCTTGATGAAGGGAATTTTTCTGTTATAGAGTACTATGCCTTTTGGTCTATAATATCTAATGGTACCTCTTTATAGGATAAATCATCTTGGAGTGAAGGGGGCTCGTGGGACAAGATGTGTGAGGGCTCCGAGTTGTACTTTCGTAGCATGGACACATAAAACACATTATGAACCCTAGATAGCTCTGGAGGTAGTGCTAGTCTGTAGACAGTCGTACCAATCATGTCTAAGATCTCAAATGACCCAATGAACTGGAGATTTTTTCTTGCTAAACCTACTGATTTTCTTGAAATATGTGACATTGAGGAATACTCGATCACCTTTCTAAAATTCTAAATCCTTCCTCTGGGTGTCCGAATAACTCTTATGCATGTTCTGATCTATTTGGATATTCTTTCTGATCTTAATTATCTTGGTTGTAGTCTCCTCTATAAAATCTGGGTCGAACAATTTTCTATCACCCACCTCTTCTTAACAGATCGGCGACTTGTAGGGGCGGCCATACAATGTCTCGTATGAGGTCATGCCGATGCTTGCTTGGTAACTGTTATTATAGACAAACTTTATCAAAGGTAGGTGATCATCCCAATGGCCTCCGAAATCTAGAACACAAACTTAGAGTATATCCTCCAGTGTGTGGATCCTCATATCTGATTATCCATCGGTTTGAGGGTGGAATGCAGTACTAAGGGACAGCTTCGTTTCCATGGCTTGCTGAAAACTAGACCAAAATCGAAAAGTGAATCTGGGGTTCCTGTCAGATACCATTGTCACTGGAACTTCATGTAGCCTTACTATCTCCTGGATATACGTTCTTGCTAGTTTGTCCAAAGGGTCGGTCATCTTAATAGCCAAGAAGTGAGAGGACTTGGTGAGCTGGTCGACAATTATCTAAATAGCATCATGCCCCGTGCATGCCTTAGTAATCATATCACGAAATCCATTGTGATATGCTCCCACTTTCACTCCCGGGATCGGTAATGACTGAAGAAACTCGCTTGGTCATTAATGCTCAGCCTTAACCTGTTAACATACCAGACACTTGGAGATAAAGTCGACTATCTTTCTTTTCATTATGCTCTACCAAAATCGGGGTTGCATATTTTGATACATTTTAGTACTTCTAGGATGTATGAAAAACTTGGAGCGGTGAGCCTCTATCATGATGTCCCTTTTTAGTTCACTGTCATCTGAAACACATACTCTGTCTTGAAACCTGAGCAATCCATCGGTAGAGATTCAAAAATTTGGATGTATTCCCTATTCTGCATCTTTCTTGAGGGCGACTATGGTGGAATCGGTTAATTGGGCTTCTATTATTCTCTATATCAATTCGGGTTAGATAGTTAGGCGGGCGAAACATATAACTCTCTTTAGGTTCTGAAGTCGTATAAATTGTGCAGCCTCTATTACCCTATATTCAGAAACCATTA